TGACTCGGACCAGTAAGAAACCTCCCAGAACACCCTGGAAAAACCATAGCAACCTTGAGGTCAGACTTTTGCGTGGGCTTCGTTGTGACTCTAAGTAGCTCTTAACCCCACTCAAAGAAACCAGCACCATCCGCCTGCTTTTTTACAGCACTACTAAAAGCCTCAGCTGCAGGTTCGGCTAAAAAAGCGCTTCTTAACCTGCACATCCCCCTTTAGGCCTGAGGCAGATGGAGACTAGGCGTGAGGGGGAGGCTGTTAACGAGACCCCATAGGCCTGAATCAAGGCTGTGCCTCTCACTCCTGGGATAGTGTGTATATACAGTGTGTTGGGGTGGGGAAGGTCGAGACCAGGTTGTAATTCTTGTTCTCAGCAAATTATTTTAGCTCCTTCTTCTTTGTTCAGAAAGCATGAGAGGTGTTTTTTTTTTTTTTTAATCTCATATGGAATAAGTGCTTTTGTATGTAGTCTTCACTCAATACATTTTACATTAGCGCTCCTCCTCCTTCAAGCTCTCTCTCGCTCCCTCCCTTTCCCAAGAGAGCCATCACCTCAGCCTCTAGATCAGTTTAATCTTTCTGTCAGGGCAGACCGCAGGTGTTGACAGCAGCTCTAGATAAATAAATAAACACTAAACAGGCCACACATCTCCACCCCCAGTTCATCTCCTCCTAATGGAGCCGTCACGTGAACCCATCCACATTTAATCACCGCTGTCAGAGAGACGCTCCGCTCCAGCTCTCGTCTTACGTCGACAGCCTTAACTAGTGCTGTTATAGCTAACTGCCAGTAAATTTAACAAGACAGGTGTCAGTCCAGTCAAATGAGAAACTTGGAGGAATAACCTTATTCTAGGCTCAACAAATAGAGCATTGGTTAAGAAACTCGTGTCACGAGTCAGAGTCGATTTTTCTTGGAAATCGGAAGCACATACTCTCAGGCAGATTAAATATTCATTAACCATTCTTGGTCTTAATGTGAGCTCGTTCCCGTCTTCTGCTTTGTCGGTGGGTTCTTGTGACAAACTACCCGCAAATCTCCGTTAGCTTTAAGATGGGATCAACAAAGTTTAACCCTTATATTGATTTAGCTGCAAGCTTTAATCAAATTGGTTATTTACATGTGCAGACTGCTAATTTAGCCCTCTAATTAATTATGTATTATGTGTTGTCCGATCTTGGGTTTGGTTGAAGCTTTGCACCAAAGATCTGTAAGAAAAATGAACGATTATTTATGTAGTAGGTTCATTTTTGAAGTAAAGCAAACAACATGAGAAAAATACTTTTATCAGAAAGCAGATTTCCAGGAAAACAGTTTAACCTTCTTGTTTGGGATCTGAAAGACCTCAAGGGCAAGGTCTTGCTGGCTAAAAAAATAATTTGAAGTATCAATTTGAAACTGGTTTATTTTCTTATTTTTAAACAATTTAAATGGCATAACATAAAGCAACCTGTTCTCTATTAAAAGGTTTCATTATGTCTTTTTGACCACAGATCCACTGAGAAGGGAAAAAAAAAAATATATATATATACAGGTGCATCTCAATAAATTAGAATGTCGTGGAAAAGTTCATTTATTTCAGTAATTCAACTAGAGTTGTGCCGGTATTCGGTAATGCAATATATCACGGTAACGAATATGCACGATATTGTTATCGTGGGCACTTCTAAATACCGTGAAATTATTGGACATAATAAATGTTATTTTGAAGCCGTTCTATTACATATTTTTACAATATACTTATGCTTGAGGCAAATGAACTTTAAACTGAAGTCACGTTTCTGTACAGGATAATAATGACTTTTCTAAGAAGGGCACAACAACTGTTTTGTGGTTAAACAGTGTTAAAGCTTCAATAATATCTGTCTGTTGGATTTTGATTAGGTCAGAGGAACATAATAAAAGAATTTGAAGAGAAAATAATTCTAAATTACTAGGCTATTATTGTTTTTACATATACAGCATTACAATCTCCGGCATCCCAAATGTTACATGAAGATCAAGAGAACCTGAGGGTTACAGCACAACATTCAGCTTACCAGTGTGTGTTGAGGTCTGTAGATGTAAACCATTGATGGGAACGTGAGATATTTGTGGTCAAGAGGTCATCAGAGAAACGCTGATGCAAACCTGATCTTTCCCCTTCGATGATTTAGCACATCAGTAACTGGCGTACATTGAGACATGTCTGGTATACTGGAGTTGCGTGTGAAAAGATGCATTTGTGGACATTCTGAATGGAGTTTGAATTAACCATATGTTTAGCAGGAGAAGACTGTTACAGTATAATGCTTTAATGTAAAGTCCATCTCAGATACCATGAGCGCCCTTCCTTTTGCTTTTAAAAACCCACTCTAATGGGAGAAAAAAGAGAGGCATCTAACATCAGTTGACATTTTTTTTTCTTCCTTATTTCCTGTTCCCTCTTATGTCCATCTTATGTGATCTTGTTTTTCCTGTAGAAGCCTATAGAAGCATGACATGTGATGTCCTTGTGCTCTGAGCTAATGGCTCTCTTAGTACAGTCACGAATGGCCCACCGTATGTATCTAATTCTGGCACTGCTAAAGCATAATTGGGTTTTATGTTACTTTGTAGAAACCAGAGGCCTCATTTATAAAGTGTAAAATCATCCTAAATGAAAATTGCCAAAATATTTCTATGTGCCATTTATAAAACATCTGTACACACAAATTTTTTTCCTATATTCATGTTTTGAAAAAACAAATAACTTTTTAACAATAAGGCCCTATGAAATGTGTTGTCATTTTGATCTAAATTCTGTTTTAACTTTTCTGGATTGTATGTTATATAATAGAATACAAATTTATCAAAACTGCAGCAATCAAATGAATTAATTAAATTAATTCATTTGTCTTTGCTTTAAACATTTGTGTTTAATGTCTGACAAATGCAATTTCCTAACTCCCAAAATTACTTTCTTATGGTCAAGGAATATTCTGTTACAGAATCAAATCGTTCTTGTGATCATTTCTACAGTTTCACTCAGTATTTGCAAAGTCATCAGAATTTATTTGGCAAGTCAAATCCATGGAATTTATGATCAAATCTGTTCATACATGCATTTTATAAATAAAGCCCCAGGGTTCTTCATTCTTTTATAGTCAGCTTTGATGTAAACTTTAGATCATTCACTACAGAGATTTCAATCTCCCAGAGTCATATATCTGAAATCTTGATAATTTTCTTTAAGCATTTCAAACACTAAGCCTTTAATGTAGCCATTACATCAGCTGTCTTTATTTTAAATCTCGATGCTTCTGCTTAGAAGAGCCAAATGTGAGTTTGGATCTATTGACTTGTCTAGAAATTCACTAGGGCGGAGTAATCTAAATGTTAAAGGGGTCATATGATGCTATTTTAAAGATCATTATTTGGTGTATTTGGTGTAACCGAATATGTTGACATGCTTTAATGTTCAAAAAACACATTATTTTTCAAATACTGTACATTATTGTAGGTCCTCTATGCCCCGCCTCTCTCAAATGCGTCGTTTTCAACAAAGCCCCCTCCTTTGACAAGCGCAGTCTGCTCTGATTGGCCAGCTGACCCAGAGCATTGTGATTGGCCGAACACCGCAAAGTGTGACGGAAATGTTACGCCCCTTACCATA